GTGATTTGAATAGGTAATTGTTGTTTTCTATAAGAAAAATAAAAGTAAATTTTTGTGGGATAAATCATTAACGTGTGTTTTGTTATAATCTTAATTTATTTATTGACATATCAATGTTATTAACAAAGACAATTTGGTAAAATTAGTTAAGAATAAGTGTAGTTTTCAAAAAAATTAAAATAAAGTGTAGTTTTCAAAATTTAAACTCATGTAATGTATTTTCCAAATTTCCTCTTGATTTTATTTTGAAATCAACTAAAATACACAAACGTATCTCATTCAGTATTAGAAATGTGATATTTGTATAGAAAATTTTCATATATAAAGGCAAACGCAGAAATTGGTGTTTGAAACAAAAAGAGATTTAATAGGTTACCTGTAGTAAAGCTCACCAATGGTAGCACCAGCTTGAACCCAAACAGTATTGTCTTTAATATCAACATCGATCTGTCTCAATTTCGACAGATCGATCAATATAAACGGTTCTTCGATCTGTGAAACATAAGACACGCCTTCGTAATCGTGACCGCCACTTCTAACACGGAAGTGAATACCGAGTTTCTTGGAGCAAATGATGGAAGCTTGAATGTGAGATTCATGAACCGGTTTAAATATGAAATCCGGTTTAGGCATTGATTTGGTCAAATACCGTTGATTTTGAGCCGTCGATTCAAGAACTTCGATGAAGATCGAGGCGTTTCTTTCAGGAGTAAAGAACGTATTCTCGAGTGGGAAATTGATATTTGTATTTCTGTGGAGACAGTTGATGAAACCATATTGTAGGGAAGTTGAACAAATTGGTGTTATTGTGTAGAAAGAAAAATATACGGCTAAAAACGAAACGTAAGAAATTGAAGATACTGGTTTTGAAACTCCCATCTTTGTAGCCAATAGTATATACAAGAAGAGAGAAGCCAAACACATTATTAAGCTTCAAGATAGAAATGAAACGTGTATTAATAATTTTGAGTGGCTACCAAGAATTTGGTTCCCACATGATTAAAAGCAGAGGAGGAGAAGAAACATTCAGAAGTGCGATCAAACTCAAATGACGCTCTTTTTTGTTTTCTTTCAAAGTTTCAATGATTCAATGTTTCTTTCTTTGGATCGTCAAAATTAATAATTCAAAAAAGTTATGGTGATCACTAAAGGAAATATTTGACCAAGTGGG